AATAAAACAAATAAAAATAAAAATCAAAAACAATTTTAGTCACGATCTGATAATTTTTTACTGTACAAATAATAAGTTCATTTTATTGTATTAATAAAAATCGTTGATTTATAAAATTATCGATGTCTTCAATAGTTCTTCACTTTTTCTTCTTACTACGATTTGTTATATATAAAAAATAAAAAAAAAAAAAACTTAATTTAATTTAATTTTAATTTTTAAATTAAATTCAAACGAATAAATTTTTAACAAGTTTTTATTTTTAATCACAATCAAATATCGACATGCGCAGAAACGACATTACTTTAGGGTCCCCCTAATATTATATATTATTAGTTATAGTATGAGTTAAACTTATTATAGTATAATTATAACAATATATGTAACTTAGAAGAACTATAAGTTTAATATTATATAACGTCTATTTAGAACCAAGGAAAAATAAGGTCGGGTTTAAAAATGGTTTAACATGATCGTTAACTTATAGAGACGATCATTTCTCTCTTTCTTAAGTATTTTCGCATCTTCATATATTATAAGAAACAGAACTGTAATTTATTGTAACATAACCGATAGAAAAATCGATATAGTTCGTTTGACTTTCAAGCAGCCAGTAGAATATTCTATGCATCTATGTCAACGTACAGCCTTCCTACAGAGAATGCACAGCATAGATAAATCAGAGAATACAGACAGGATCTCTTTCTATGAACAGACAACTCGGCTACGAACAAGCAACGTATAGATAAGTTAACAAAGCAAATTTTGTGGTCGATTTTCCTATAGTAAGGATCGATACCAAATTCGTAATTTTTTCTTTCTCCCTCCCTGCCTCTCTCTTTCCCTCTTTATCTTTCTCTCTCTCTCTCTCTCTCTCTCTCTCTCTCCTTGTCTCTCTCTCTCTTTTCCTCTTTATCTTTCTCTCTCTCTCTGTCTCTCTGTCCCTCTCTTTCTCTCTCTCTCTCTCTCTCTCTCTCTCTCTCTCTCTCTCTCTCTGTCCCTCTCTTTCACTATCTCTCTCTCTCTGTCCATCTCTTTTTTTCTCCCTCTCTTTCTCTCCCTCCATCTGTCATTGTTATTCTTAAAGGTCATTCAATACAGACAAAGTAAATTTTCATTGAATGATAACAATGAATATGAGAACTGTTCCTCGATTGTTCTAAATACTAATATTTTTCTAATACTTCATTTTACCTAATAAAAAAGTTACAAAATGACATGATCATTTTGATTAGTTATAAATGTTTTTATAAAGATATCTACTTACAATTTCATCTAATGTTTTTTTTTAGACATTATGACATATAATATATGTTATATATGTTCATATTATCAGGAAAGGAAAAAAGAAATTTATTAAAGTTCATTAATTATGATAGAATACAGAGGAGAGAAACAGGTGTATTATAAAGAATGATTATAATAAATATACACACACACACATATCTAATAAAAGAAAAATATAATATATAAAAAATCATAAAATTTATTAAATTATTCTTTAATATATAACATTTTTATATATTTAATATATTGAATTATATTATTAAAAAAGTATTATTAAAATTAATATTTTAATTATTTAAATTTAAATTCTCTTTATAAATATATAAATTCTTGTTTTCCTCTTCTTCTGTAGTTTTTTTTCTAATCGTAAAACAATATATATATATATTGTTTTACGATTAGAAAAAAAAAATATATATATATATATATATATATGTAATATACTTTAATCCTTCGGTCTCTGTTGACAAATCTAATCTATCATGGTAATCTAATACCAAAGTATACAATGACTCACTATATAGTATATAATAGTAATTATACTTACATAAACGAAATAAAATCTAAATTAAATCACACGTCAATGAAATTAAAACCGAGATAAATTGTGGATAATTATAATGTTAATGTTTTTTTCTAAATTCAAACTATTATACAGAACTACATATTCATTTTCTAATATCTATACTAACTGTCTTTAATATTCTATGAATTTCAAATATTTTCATCGATAACAATTATCTTTTATTAAATATAACATGTGAATTTGGTTTGTAAATATGATCTGGTTGATAACTATGAGTATTTTTTCAAATATTTATTTTAAGAATATGTACACATACATACATACATATATATATATATATATATGTATATATTTAATACTTACATATATATATATATATGATAGATATTTATACTTTCACCGATAAAAACGAAGTAATTCTTTTATCAGATAAAAAGTGTAGGTAAAATTGATGACACAAAACGAAAATGAAATATATAAAGTATAGTATAATATAATATATATATATATATATATTATTATTATATATATATATATATATATATATTATACTATACACGATTAAAGTTTATATTGTTATCGATAGAAACAAAGTAACTCAGTCAAGACGAAAGTGACGTCACAAAAATTAAAAAAAAAAAAATTCAATATAGTTTAAGTAACACGATTAATATTATACGTGAACATTTATATAAATGTTTCAAAAATATCAGTCTAAAAATAATCTTTTACGTCAAAATTGAAAAAAGTCCAATACGTACCTACGTACTACTTACAATACAGGACGTACGTTCATAAATGTCCAAATAAATATCTCACGACTAATTCAAATTATAAGAAAATTAAATCGGAGAAATTTCCACGACAGCTCTAATTCTATTACAAAGTGCATATAAGAAAAAATTTTTTTCTTTTTCTTTCTTTTTTACTCATCACTCTTTCGAGTTACGAAGGTCGACACAGTTCCTTTCCTCCCATATTTATACAGCAACGATCATTCGCAATCAAAATCATATCCAATAAAATGCATCGTTTATGACATAATCTTAAGTATTCTTCCATATTAAAGTAAAGTTTATTACTTAATTTAAATTAGAGTTAAGTATTTAAAGTAGAATTGATTTTCCATAACACAATTTGAAAAAATAATCGTTTAAGTTATAAAATATTTTGAAGTTGTTTACGTCTTTAAATTATCATTGACATTAAACTCGTCCAAATTACTACGACTGCTTGATTTATTAAATAACGTATATATATATATACCATTTATAAATCACGGATTGTGAATTATATTACAAAATATGAATCTGTTCAATCAGTCAATTTTTTTTACCAGACATTATTTTGATTTCGAATATGAACTATTAACTTACAAATATGCAAGAAAAAAAAGATTACAGATATCCGTATAAAGAGATCCATTTAAGAAGAAGAAGAAGAAGAAGAAGAAGAAGAAGGAAAAAGAAACTACGTCGATCTTTTGTAAATTAAAAAGGTCATGAGTAAACAAAAAAAAAGAAAAAAAAAGGAAAAAAATGAAATAGAAAGAAAAAG